ACCCTTGGTTTTGGGAAACGGTCACATAATTATCAATCTGTTCAAAAATGATCCTTTCAATTATCTTTGACAGACAACCAAGAATTGAAACAGGTCTATAATTACCAGGGTCTAGTTTACTCCCTTTCTTATATATTGGAATCACTCTGGCAATCTTAAGGTCATTGGGAAAGTATCCTTGTTCTATCGACCTGTTTATAATATGAGTAATGCTCGGAGTAATGATCTCAGCGGCATCCCTCACGAATCTAGATGGAATAGAATCTAATCCTGTGGCTTTAGAGCCATCAAGCCTCTTCAGCTTCTCAAGAACAAGTGCCTCCCACACCTTATCAAAAGAGAAACTCCCCACCTGAACACCTAACTGAGAATAAAAGTCCTGCACATGACTTTCCCCATATTGACCAGTCTGGTCAGGTAACTTTTCCACAAGCTTCCTGGCAACTGATGAGAAATACTTATTAAAGCTATCTGCCACTATCTCCTTCTCTGATGTAATATTGTTGCCAAGATCCAGAGTAATATTAGTATTTTTTGTTTTTAGCCTTTTACTGTAGCCAAGGTGTTTAAGGGATTTCCATAGCTTTCCTGAGTCATTTCTATATTCAGCAATTTTTTCATTGAAATATGCCTTTTTAGTATTGACAACTAATTTGTTAACTTCATTTCTTGCCTTTTTATAATCAGCCCAACTCTGCTCATCCTTTTTTTCTCTGAATTTCCCATGCTTCCTGTTTCTTAGCCTAATTGCCTCAAGGATGTCATCATTTACCCAGGGTTCTGTTCTCTGCTTTATTCTGATTTCCTTATATGGGGCTATTTTATCTATAGCTTCTAAAAACATACTTTTAAATAAGCACCATGCTTTGTCCACATCACTACATAGCAAAACCTTAGACCAATTCATTTTAATTAAGCAGCCATTCAGCGCTTCTTTGCTATACTTTTTCAGTGACCGGATCTTAATAGACGTATGACAGTTAAGCACTGCTTGCTTGATCTTTCTAGTACAGAAGATAATAGAATGGTCACTCAACCCATATTTTATAACCCCGCTTTCAGTTATCCTAGATTTATCTGACACTAGGACAAGGTCAATCGTGGTTTGGGTGGTAGAGCACACACGTGTAGGTTCATCAATCAGCTGATGTAAACTATAGGAGCGACAGAAATGCATCAATGCTTTATACCCAGAAACATCACTTTTCTGAAAATCAGTGTTGAAATCCCCCAACATGATAACTTCTGATTTAACCAAGTCCATGCAATTTGAACAAACATCCTCTAAAAGTTCATAAAACTGTGTTTGATCAGGCGGTCTATAACATGCGCAAATTAGTATGGGCTTACTCTTCGGTAGCAAAATATCTAACCAGACTGCTTCAACCTGCTCACTATTTAAATCCATTCTATGATTAAAACCAATGTCCGCTCTTACATATATACACACCCCTCCACCTTTGCGGTTTCGATCTCTCCTAATTACGAAATAGTTCTCCAGTTCAATTTCAGCGTCCGTAATGGAGTCATCCAGCCATGTCTCGGTGAAACAAAAAATTCCCACCTTTCTGCTTTTACTGAGGTGTCGGATCTCTGTGATTTTCGGGAGAAGGCTTCTGACGTTGAGATGAAGCAGGTGTAATCCTCTCGTCGACAAGAAAGAATCCACATTCGATATCGTGTCTCCCAGTTCCAGATCTCCGCCACTTCTCCCGGCGCTTCCGCGCACGCTTCCACTCCCTTCAGCGACACTCATGGATAGGAGTTTGTCCCCGGCGTTTGGATGTCTAGAGCAAGCCATTGCACATGTAGAGGGCCTACTTGACATTGTTTTCGTTGATCCGAATTTCCGCATCGGGCCCGGGTATTGATGTATATCTCCAGATAATAATAGGCAGATACAAATTATAAATTGGTCGCCATTCACTTGCCTTTTGACGCCACCTTTATCTCCTTTATCATTGCGCTTGGCTGGATACAAGCATGGATAGAGAAATGTGTCCATAAAGATTTTCTTCCCATAACCAAATTGTTTTTTAAATAAAAGTTTGTTTGAGTGAGCATAACAACTATGTAAATGCCCCTCAAAACAGGTTTTAGGGCCGTTTTCTAAAAAATTTATAATAAATATGTATGCTAAAAGCACCACAAGCACCCCACATTTGCCAGCTGCCATCTTGACCCATCATACCACTGATAGATCTAAAGATCTAAAGTAGTGAGTTTACGTATAGGGCTACCTTTAAAGACCACTTTTGCTGCAGCATCTGGATCAGTTGCAGAGGTTTGACTGATGCTGGAAGGCCTGCCAAGAGAGCATTACAATAGTCCAGTCTGGATAGAACAAGAGCTTAGACCAGGAGTTGTGTAGCTCCGTTATGAAGGGCCTGATCCTCCTAATGATGTATAAAACAAATCAACAGGATCACAGCAAGTATGGTTTGGCTGAAACCATAAGCAGTTCTGTCTTGGCAAGGTTGAGTTGAAGGTCCTTCGGATGAGACGTTAAACCGAGGTCCTGACTCTCTGTGGTCATTAAAAATCCCAGAATGTCTTTCGAAAGAGTAGGGGTGTTACCCCGGCATCCTGGCCAAATTTGCCCAGTGGCCTCTGTCCATCATGGCCTCCTAATAATCCCCATATACTGATTGGCTTCATCACTGTCTCCTCTCCACCAGTAAGCTGGTGTGTGGTGGGCGTTCTGGCGCACTATGGCTGCCGTCGCATCATCCAGGTGGATGCTGCACTTTGGTGGTGGTTGAGGAGATTCCCCCTTCTATGTAAAGCGCTTTGAGTGCCGAGAAAAGCGCTATATAAATGTAATGAATTATTATTATTATTATTATTATTATTCATCCAGCAAGAATTTTCCATCAGCTATGTAGCCTGTATACTATTATTTAACCTTAAAAGTCACGTTAACACCCACACGCTTAATGATCTTCAAGGAAAACATGTTAAATGACTGCTGATTTCTGCAGTTATACCTTCTTTTCTTTGTTTTCTAATTTCACAGAAATAATCTGTAAAGTATTACTTAATATTTTATGTAAAATTACAAATAACCCTGTAAAATTGATGTAAACCCAAATACAAGCAATTACCTGTAAATTTAATAGTGGACCTTTAAATTACAACAAATATATGTAAAATAACAGGCATTCACTGTAATGACAAAATGGCAAAATTCTGTAAAAAATTACAAACCGTTACCTGTAAATTTACTTCTTTTTTTTTTACAGTGTAGGTTTAAAAAAAATCTATAAAATTGCTGTTGTTGATGTGTAATAAATTATGACATTTTAATTTATTTCATATGTACATAGTTTTAAACACAGCCAATTGGTTGTGTTAAAAACTAACCTTTTACCAAATATGTCCTGTGGGACTGGAAATTCAGGTTTCTTCGAAAGTTTCCCCATTGGCGTAATACTATTCTCTTGTGTTTGAGAATGATTACAGCTTTCACCAACTGACATATGTTATGATTTTCACTATAACATGTAGAAAACACTTGGGGTTAACCACGTTCAAATAACACAGCCAACATTCAGCAATACTCAATTTCTTCTGTATTTATTTTAAAGAACACAATAACTAATAATTACAACAATGGCGGAATAGCAGTATTACATTCATAACAACATATAGTTGAATATTTGCAGAATACTCTAACTGATGACAAATAAAAGTGATGTTGTTTCAACCAGAGAACATATCGATCTGAAAAATTGGACAAAGTCAAATATGCACTGTCAAATATCTGAATATCATGTTAGGTTTTATCACAAAAAAACAAAAAACAAACAAAAAAAACAGTTTACTGGATAAGGTTTTGACAACATTAGTCTATTGAAGCCAGTTAGTTTCATTCCAGCACATGAGTGTGTGGAGCAAGTGTCACTAGTATAAGTTGAGTTTTTGATCATTCATTTGCTTTTCATTGTTTTACAGCCTTGGGAGAAGAAAAGAAAGAAAACTCTTAGAACATTTAATATCACTTTACTCAGAAAACAAGGTATTATCGTTTATTTGTTTAATTTATCTTAATATTTTCTCAACTAATCACAATCAACTGCTTTATTAAGTCAAATGTCAGTAAAGGTATTGTGATGTGTGTATTGTTCATCAGGTCATGGAGATTCATCAGTCTGCTGTGATTCTGCTGCTGGTCTTGTGTGTGTCGTTCTCCACTCAACTAACCCCTTATGGAAATTTCGTCAATCAGCATGTGGGTCCTGATGTGAATGAGAGGATGTGTACCGATGTGATCAGAGACAGACGCATCACTGCAGCTGGCGGTGTCTGCAAACCTGTCAACACCTTCATACAAGCAGATGAAGATCATATTAACCCAGTTTGTGGCGGAGGAACATGGCCAGTTTTGGAGCGGCCAGCCTTTTCCTTTGGTCAAGTGTTATAATATATCTGGGGAGTGGGAGAGATACCCAGACTGTGTCTATACAGGGAAGAGATTCCCTGCCCGTTATATACAGTTGCAGTGTGACCGAGGCTTGCCTGTACATTATGTAAGTGACAGGCTGAATTGAGCATCACAGAGCTTTATTTGCTAATCATTTGTTCACTTCTCCTTTCCCACCTTTCTTTGTTTTTCAAGTGCAAAAGGAGAAAAAAGTGAGTCAATCATGAAGCCAAAAATAAAATAGATGAATAAATATTCAAAATACAAATAAAAAATGGACACCTCTCTGTCTTTATGAGACTCTGATATGAACGAGAATATCTCCACTGTCTCTCATTATTTACCTTAAATGAGCATAATGTTACAAATATCTTTACAATATTTCTCTAAGTTGATGGTATATTCGTCACTTCTTCATGCGTGTCTCTGTGTGTAATTGTGCTTTTCATGTGCAGATTCAGCTAGTCTACTGAATTTAATCATTCTGTTAACACTCTTTGAGCATTACAAAACTTTAATGTGAGTAGAGAATGAGCAAAAACAGACGAGTGAAGAAAGACACAGATGTTTTTTCCACCTGTCTGTAATCCTCAATAAAACTCTCTATACTCTTAAACTCGTCTGCTGGATTCTCTTGCATCTCAACAACACTAATTGAAGGAAAAATATCCAATTACTTAATTTCTGTGTCTTTGCTCTTTTTTTTTCAAGGTGTAAATGACAAGTTATCAACCACTTCACATTTTGTTTATTTTTTATATCCACACATTAAAATCAATGAATTATAATGAATCATTTACGAACAGAATTTATGACCACATTTTTAATATTTGGAGCCAGTGGTTCTCGAGGACAAGTCTCCCCAAATTTAAAAATGGCCGATCAAATCAAACTTTTACTTTTCACAGAAGCAGAGCATGGATTTCAGCGTGAAGACTCAGTTTAACATTGAAAGAGAGTAGGTATGATTTATCGAAATATTTATTACATGTTAACTGTTTTGCGATATAAATGTTCAACGACCAACGGTAACATCCAGTGATGCAAACAACTTTTTTTCTCACATATGTCCCTTTTGAATTTAAAATATGCATTTACCTGATTCATGTATAGCCTAATCCTAACTGAGTGTGACGAGACAAGAAATGTTTTACATTTTCGACATATTAGGCATGGAAAAGTAGGGACATGTGTGCATATTTTAATGCAAAATGTTCTAAATGATTACCGGTATTTCCTAACTAGAATTAGACCTAGAAAACCCAGCCCCCACGTTCTTACATTGACTTCATTCACATGTTGACATGTTATCTTATGTGCTTGATCTGACAATCACCTATTTACAGTAATATCGATCAAATCAACAGTGTGAATCACAACACGATATTTGAGATTGTTTAAAAATCTAGATAAATGTGCTCTGGTGTGGTATCTGAACATTAAAACTTCATTAATGTTTTTCTGTTTGAATGTTTGCAAATCTACCTATATTACAATATATAATAACAAATAAGGTAAATTCCCATCAATGAGATAATTGGCCAAGGTCATGTTTGCACTGTCCAGTGTTTAAAGGTCACGTGAGGTTTGTAATAAAAACTCCAGTGATACTGATGGTTGTATTAGTGAAGGAACAGGTGGCAGGAACATATGGTTCTTACAATAGATCCACATGCTTTTAAATTTTAAGCGTTATATTTTATTTTACAGAAACCTGACTATAAGTAACAAACCATTCCCTATGGTCATTTGTAAATTAAAAAGTGGGGAGAGATACCAAAGATGGACAGAGGAATCATGGACACTAAATATGGTCTCTCTTATACTAATGCTATTGTTTCGACTAGATTTTTGTCTTTTCTATCTCAGTTGTTTAAACTCAGATGTCATTTCAAGTGCAAAACATCAGCTATTTATTAAAAAATAAATGTAAAAAAATCTTAAAGTGTAACAATGTAATGTTAATGATATAACAATGTATAATGATATCTTTCAGTGGTGTGCTCTTCTTCGTGCAAGTCTCTGTTAGTGTGCTCACTGCAATTTATGAAAGTCGTGCTTCAGTGCCTTAAACCTTCAGCAGATTCAGCCAGACTGGCAAACATGTGCTACAAGTTTTTGTCTTGTAAACTATCAGGATAGCTATAAGTTCACTTGTAGTATAGTTGCAGTACAATCGAAAAACGTAGTTGTAAACTAGTTGTGTAATCAAAATTGCCTAGACTTAAAAGTAACTGTTAGGTTTTACAGTGTAGTACACTGATATTAAAATACTTACTAGAATACTTAAAATACTTGGACTTAACTTAAGGATACTTAATAAAGTGAATACTTTTTTGTAAGGGGAGAGTGTGAGGGAGAAATTATTATTGGAAATTTGAATGTTATCTCTTAAGGACTGTAGGATAAGCAACACTCGCCCTGGATAGGCCTATCAGAACCCAGGAACTCAGTCAACCACAGTTGTTTCCTTTGATGTCTTTACTGGAGCATATGTTTGTGTGTGGTCTGTACAAAGATAAATAACAATTACAATAAGTAAATAATACAGACTCCAATATAGTAAACAATGATACAATCTGTGTGGAATATTACTTGCAATAAGAGTGAAATACAATTGTGCCATGATTAGCAATATTAGCATCAGAATAGGCCATTTAACTATAATCGCCATCAACTCACACTTATACTTGGTATTTACTACAGACATCTTGAACATGAAAAACGATCTCTTTCAAGATAAAATATGACAGCAGTATAATCAAAACGATCGCATAATTCGACGGCAGATGTGATATGATCGTGCATGTTCTTACGTTCATTCGCCTCTTCAATTGGTTAATTTTTAAATAGTCAGATGTTAGATAATTATATACATTTTAAATATTGTTTATCCTTATTATTTATGGGCCTAACACAGTAAATTAACAATAATCAACACCTGCAAGTGTACACTTTGAAGAGTAAAAATTACATAGAAGGTTAGACAATTAAACTTTATTAAAATTGTATATTAGTAGTTCCTTTAGAATGATGTAGTAACACTTGATTCATTACTGATGGGTTACCATTTATTATAAATTATGCATTATTCATGTTAATTATGAACCTGTATATCGTAGTTCCCTTTCGAGGGAACTCTACACTGCGTCGAGAATCGACACTTTGGGGACGCTCCCTAAGCGTGCGCCTCTGAAGTATGAATGAAACTAATCCAATCCTGATTGGTGTTGCGTCGTGACGTAACATGTGACGGCATACCCGGAAGTATAAAAGTGACACTGTCACAACACACACTAGCTTTCGCTCTTCAGCAAGCGCTCTGTGTTGAAACTGTCTGTCTTATTTGGTGTTGTTTGTCAATCAGTTGATCAGAATGGCCAGCGAACAATTTAAAAGATGTGTGCATCCTTGCCCTCGTTTTATTACGGGTGGGGACACACATGCTTTGTGTGTGAATTGTTTGGGAGCACAGCATGCACAAGCAGCTCTTAAGGGAGCTGTTTGTGCAGACTGTGAAGCACTTCCTATTAGAGTGCTGCGCTCCCGGCTGGCGTGCTTTGATGAGCACGGTCAGGCTCGCGTTCCCCACGGTTCTGGTCCCGCGTCCGTTGAGGCGGCGCGACGATTGAGATCGCGGGGATCGCAGTGGGATCTTACGGATGAGAATGAGACTGCTGCGGCACTTTCTCATTCTTCGTCTGAGGATCCCGTAGCCCCTGAGAGTGGTACAGGAGCCCGCATCGCGGCTTCTCCTGCCCACGATCAGGTCCCAATGCTTGAGCTCTCTGCTTCCGAGGAAGTGGATGTGCTCAGTATTGATGCGGATGACCGTGATTTGGGCGCGCCAGTTCACGGCCAAAGCTATGAGGAGCTGGTAGAGGTTGTGACTAGTGAAAGCAAGCTTGATGAGCGTTTCCTGCAGCACAGGTCACAACCTCAGCGCCGGGCTAACTGTTTTTCCCTAATCTTACAAATACAGAGATAAGAACTCTCCTGGGAAAAAAACCCAGTCTTTTTCACCTGTACTCTAAGACGATTTTACAGGCGTATAATGGCACTAAACGTACCATAGCTTATTGTAGCAGTTATGATGGTTGAGAGACATCAGTGGCTTAATTTGTCTGGTATAAAAAAGGGAAGACAAATATTTTCTGCTGAACGCTCCGCTATCACCTTCTGGCCTGTTCTCCGACGCTGTAACTTCTATCGTCGACAGGTTTATGAATAAATAAATAAAATAAATATATATATATATATATATACAAATAAATGTAATATATATATATATAAAACTATATATGTTGTCCCGCCGTTTTTGAACGTTTCGGGCTACATCGATTTCCAGCGAACGCACACAGTGGCGTTCACCCCAACAGCTTGCAACCGGGCACCGACTATGATCACAAAATTTTTCTAGACTTTTTCCTGCCGGTCATCTGCTTCAGGAAGTCGAGAATAGTGCTCGAGAAACACCCGAGGCCGGTCCCAAGGGGCTGGTTCCCTTAGTAGATTTTGTAGAATGGCAACGCCTTCCAATTATCTCTATGGGTCCTGAATATTTTTAAATATGGGTACGGACTGCAGTTCGGTTACCGACCTCCCAGCTTTGTTGGGGTCGTACCGACCGCAGGGGTTCCAGAACAGGCTCGGGTTATGGAACAAGAGGTACAGACTCTACTGGAGTTAAGGGGCCATAGAGAGTGTTCCCCTACCAGATAGAAAGTCCAGGTGTTACAGCCGGTACTTTTTAGTTCCAAAGGAGGATGTTGGACTGAGGCCAATTTTAGATCTAAGGCTATTGACTTGTTCTTTGAGGAGATCCAGGTTCAAAAGGCTTACAATTTCCATTATCGGAAACCAAATCAAATCCGAGGACTGGTTTGGCATGGTAGATCTAAATGTTGGGGCTGTCCACTCAGTTGCAGGGCAACCGATGTTGTTCTTGCAGCGGGGCCCGGAAACGATGTGTATTGCCCGCCGTCTATGACGCTTGGGCCGCATCATTTTCCAGGGAACGCACTCTGCGTCGTCTGTCCTCGAAAAATAAAAGACGAGCATCAGTTCTGGTCACGAAAACCGTATCGACTACAGCCTGCCGGTCTTCCGCTTCAGGCAGTCTAGAAGGGTGCTCGGAAACCACCAGAGACCAGTCTCGAGAGGCTGGATCGGATGTGGTTCTTGCAGCGGGGCCCGGAAACGATGTGTATTGCCCGCCGTCTATGACGCTTCGGGCCGCATCATTTTCCAGCGAACGCACTATGCGTCGTTTTTCCTCGAAAAATAAAAAAACGAGCATCAGTTATGGTTACGAAAACCGTATCGACTACAGCCTGCCGGTATTCCGCTTCAGGCAGTCGAGAAGGGTGCTCGGAAACCACCAGAGGCCAGTCTCGAGAGGCTGGTTCTCTTAGATCGGGTTCTTCCGTTCGGCCTAGCACTCTCTCCCCGCATGTTCATGTGTAGGTTTATGGATGCGACTCTGGCTCCACTGAGGCTTCAGGGCATCTGTACACTGAATTACTTCGACGACTGGCTCTTATTGGCCCAGTCTCGAGGAATGGCAGTTCGGCATTGAGATATCGTCCTTGGTCAAGATTAGAATCGGGGGTTGAG